TGAATCCACTGATTTCATCAGGAGCATCGATCACACGTCGAAGACATTTGGGCATATACACCAAGCGATGGTCTGTATCAATTGTTCCCACGTAGTTCCAAAATTCGGTCTCCTTAGTGTAGAGCTTTGTCAATTCACATTTTGTTAAGGGATATTCGCACCTCTGATAGGCCGAGCTTAGACCATGCCATATGTCGTGCATCTTTTGCACGTGAAAATCCACGTCTGAAAACTTCACGAGAATTTTTTCCCTTAACAGATATGACAATAATTTGCTACAAATTCCCAGTAAAAACTATTTTTCGAATAACTTATCCAACTCGGCCACGCTCAAAACGATTTCGAATCTCAACTGCATGCCGTCTTCGATCGATTTTATGAATTTCTCCATCGCTTCATCAAAATTCATCAAAATAAATTCATAGTCAGCATTATCATCATTCTTCCCTAACATGGCATGTGTGAGAAACTGGTATGGTTTCTTCCAAAATTTCAATATATGGTGCTGTATATTATAAGCTTGAACATGGGTAATGTTTTCAGAAAACTCTTCCATGAACGTCATACCAGTAAATGTTCCAATATTATTTGGTCCAATAGGATATTTTCGCATTCTCCGAGCGACGTTAGGGCAGATTTGTGATTGAGAAATTTTATCTAAATTCACAAAATACGCTTCACCTGGCTTTCCTTCCATATTAAGAGCGATGTGAAGTTGATGGAATACACCGTTTTCAGTAAACCTACCCATCTCTAACCCCAATTGAGCTAATGAATCGTCTGTGATTTGCACCTTAATTCCATTGACGGACTTATAAAAAAAAGAAAAGGACATTCCAAATTGCTCACATATGGTGTCGAATCTTCGACAAAATTCTCCCCATTACTTTCAACAATCAAAATTTTTCTTTTACCATCAAAATGCAGATGTCCTTTACAAGTGATGAATGTCGATGAAGTACTTACCATACCATTGATGGCTTGAATAATCAAATTTAAAACAAATGATCTAACATTTTTAATTGTTTGGATGTCGTCATCGCGCCATATGTCAAATTCTTTCACAATATTTTCCGGTATTGCCTGTAACCTGAATACTGCATAACAATTGTTGAATTTATCTGATCCACCTAGTTTAATCTCATACAATTCCGGATGAGATTGTTCCTCGTCCTCGTTCCTCCTCCATCGCTTCATCAAAATTCATCAAAATATATTTATAGTCAGCATTATCATCATTCTTCCCTAACATGGCACGCGTGAGAAACTGGTATGGTTTCTCCCAAAATTTCAATGTGGTGCTGTATATTATAAGCTTGAACATGGGTAATGTTTTCAGAAACCTCTTTCATGGACGTCATACCAGTAAATGTTCCAATATTATTTGGTCCAACAGGATATTTTCGCATTCTCCGAGCGACGTTAGGGCGGATTTGTGATTGAGAAATTTTATCTAAATTCACAAAATTCGCTTCACCTGGATTTCCTTCCACATTGAGAGCGATGTGAAGTTGATGGAATACACAGTTTTCAGTAAACCTACCCAGCTCTAACCCCAATTGAGCTAATGAATCGCCTGTGATTTGCATCTTAATTTCATTGACGGACTTATAAAAAAAACAAAAGGACATTCCAAATTGCTCACATATGGTGTCGAATCTCCGACAAAATTTTTCCCATTCACTTTCAACAATCAAAATTTTTCTTTTACCATCAAAATGCAGATGTCCTTTACAAGTGATGAATGTCGATGAAGTACTTACCATACCATTGATGGCTTGAATAATCAAATTTAAAACAAATGATCTAACATTTTTAATTGTTTGGATGTCGTCATCGCGCCATATGTCAAATTCTTTCACAATATTTTCCGGTATTGCCTGTAACCTGAATACTGCATAACAATTGTTGAATTTATCTGATCCACCTAGTTTAATCTCATACAATTCCGGATGAGATTGTTCCTCGTCCTCGTTCCTCCTCCATCGCTTCATCAAAATTCATCAAAATATATTTATAGTCAGCATTATCATCATTCTTCCCTAACATGGCACGCGTGAAAAACTGGTATAGTTTCTCCCAAAATTTCAATATGTGGTGCTGTATATTATAAGCTTGAACATGGGTAATGTTTTCAGAAACCTCTTCCATGGACGTCACATCAGTAAATGTTCCAATATTATTTGGTCCAACAGGATATTTTCGCATTCTCCGAGCGACGTTAGGGCGGATTTGTGATTGAGAAATTTTATCTAAATTCACAAAATTCGCTTCACCTGGATTTCCTTCCACATTGAGAGCGATGTGAAGTTGATGGAATACACAGTTTTCAGTAAACCTACCCATCTCTAACCCCAATTGAGCTAATGAATCGCCTGTAATTTGCATCTTAATTTCATTGACGGACTTATAAAAAAAACAAAAGGACATTCCAAATTGCTCACGTATGGTGTCGAATCTCCGACAAAATTCTTCCCATTCACTTTCAACAATCAAAATTTTTCTTTTACCATCAAAGTGCAGATGTCCTTTACAAGTGATGAATGTCGATGAAGTACTTACCATACCATTGATGGCTTGAATAATCAAATTTAAAACAAATGATCTAACATTTTTAATTGTTTGGATATCGTCATCGCGCCATATGTCAAATTCTTTCACAATATTTTCCGGTATTGCCTGTAACCTGAATACTGCATAACAATTGTTGAATTTATCTGATCCACCTAGTTTAATCTCATACAATTCCGGATGAGATTGTTCCTCGTCCTCGTTCCTCCTCCATCGCTTCATCAAAATTCATCAAAATATATTTATAGTCAGCATTATCATCATTCTTCCCTAACATGGCATGTGTGAGAAACTGGTATGGTTTCTTCCAAAATTTCAATATGTGGTGCTGTATATTATAAGTTTGAACATGGGTAATGTTTTCAGAAACCTCTTCCATGGACGTCATACCAGTAAATGTTCCAATATTATTTGGTGCAATAGGATATTTTCGCATTCTCCGAGCGACGTTAGGGCGGATTTGTGATTGAGAAATTTTATCTAAATACGCTTCACCTGGCTTTCCTTCCATATTGAGAGCGATGTGAAGTTGATGGAATACACAGTTTTCAGTAAACCTACCCATGGCTAACCCCAATTGAGCTAATGAATCGTCTGTGATTTGCATCTTAATTCCATTGATGGACATAAAAAAAATAAAAGGACATTCCAAATTGCTCACATATGGTGTCGAATCTCTGACAAAATTCTCCCCATTACTTTCAACAATCAAAATTTTTCTTTTACCATCAAAGTGCAGATGTCCTTTACAAGTGATGAATGTCGATGAAGTACTTACCATACCATTGATGGCTTGAATAATCAAATTTAAAATAAATGATCTAATATTATTAATTGTTTGGATGTCGTCATCGCGCCATATGTCAAATTATTTCACAATATTTTCCGGTATTGCCTGTAACCTGAATACTGCATAACAATTGTTGAATTTATCTGATCCACCTAGTTTAATCTCATACAATTTCGGATGAGATTGTTCCTCGTCGTATTGAAATAATTCGGGCCGCTCATGAATCAGCCAACGTAATATCTTTTTACTCCGCAGCGGTTTGGCATCAGATTCTCTGGTCTCGATTTCAAACTTGCTGCCTGGTGACAAATCATTCAATTGGAGTGCTACACTAGCGAATAAATCAATATCGATTGTCAATTTGGTAATCTCCTTGGTGCTTGTCAGTGTTTTGTAATTTGGATGTTTGCTGTCAACCATTTTAGTTACCAATATGAGTGGTTGTATCCCAATCAGTTTAGGAAATGTGGATGAAATTGCAATTATCTGGAATAAATAAAAAGTGGTATATCAGTGAGGTGGTTATGACACCGGTACTTGTCATAGAACTTATCGTTGCCTTTTGTCGAAAATCTGTTTGATTCAATACAGGAACTGTGATAAACTATTGTTTAATGAAAATGGAAAACTTTCCTCTTTCGCTGAAGCTAAAAACGTTCATTATTCAGTATTCTGTTGAAATTATTTATGATTTTTTTTTCAAATTAAGTCCCAGTAGGAGAAATTCTCAATTAAAAGTGACCATGATTAATTTTCAACTTTTTTGGATTCACCTCTCTTTCCAATAGTCATGGAGGAGAGACTATACTGAGATTTCAGAATCACTGGTGCTTTTAATTATCATTATAATGAGTTTACTACGTCCCGAAAATTCAAATCGGTCCACTAGTTTCAATGATATTGCAGATAATAGATTTGCATAAAAAGTTGAATATTTTCAAACTACAGATGCAATTGGGCACAGCTTTAATACGAACCGTTTTCATCATGAGAAAAAGTATATATATGTTCTGATTGATCTAGATAGAGAACACTCAAACGAATATTTTTAAAAGAGGAACAGTGAAAGCGGTCTACTAGTTTTAGAGATATTCGCGAAAAACGATGTAAAAAAAAATTGATTTTCTCAAAAACTGTTGGAATGATCGAGCTGAAATTGTACACCGTGTCAGTCCTTATAATTGAACGAAATTTCAGATTTTTTAGAATTATTATACCCCATTAATTACTAAATTTCCCAAAAGTTTACCATGGAAAATCTAGACGCGGAGGTGTTCACATACAGACATGGTCCCCAAACTTCGAATTTTCACGTTTCAGACCGTTCTATATTATTTCCAATGCCACGAGGTCTTTGACATCAATTAGTGTTTAATATAATTTTTTTTTGGAAAACGTGTCCTTGAGAGTAACACCATGCATCAACTCCAGAAATTGAGTTGAAGTTTCATCGAGTTGAATATGCTGATGATGATTATCTTTGAATTTATGAGATAGGGTACACACTTATCTTACACACCTTGATTATTGTTGCATGATTATGAATGTTTGATGAAGAAGAATGTTATTGATGGGAATATTTAATTCTCAAAGCTCCAATGACGTCGGAATGATAAATTTGTTTGTTTTTTGTTTACAGCGATGTGGCAAGATCAATCGTCAGGAGTATATCAACACAAAATGAACCGTATCCTCGTTCTACTGTGCATGGCCATTGTATCAATTGCACGATGTCAGAAGGTGAGATACTTCACACCAAAAAATTTTCAGCGTTGTTAGATCTTTCGCGACTATTCGTTCATGTTAAAGGGAAACGGAACCCACGTGTCCCCATGAATTTTTAGAATTATGTTTTCTCTTACAATTAGTACTTTATATCTATGGAATTACTTTATCGACTCGATCATTGCATTGTTGAGGCAATGAAGTAGTATTATAAATTAAAAATAATAATTGCAGCAGAAAATACAATTCTAAAAGTTCGTATAGAGACAGGGGTTCCGTTTCACCTTAATTCTCTTGAATGTTTCGAACATTTCGAGCGAGTTCATGCAATTGAGTGGAAATAATCACTTCGATTTTTCGTGTTGTTTGAGAGTTTTCAGTTTTGATGAACAAGAAAGACTTGACTATGTTTTTGTTTTCATTTATATTTCGGAGGAAAATTCACTATTCGTCTCGCAATTTTTCTCCGATATAGAGTGAAAAAGCACTGAAAATCATGTTCACTCCACACACAAACTTTTTTTTTCGTGTACCTGTGTGAACACTACTGTCGCTTCTATTATATTATTACCTTCATAATTTCTTCATCTTCTTTATTTTCTTTAAGTATAATTTTCGCAATTGGAAAACTATTTTGAGTATTTATACATAAAAATCTACTCGGAGAAAAATTTTCTAGAGAAATCCATGGAATAGTCCCACAACATGTCTCATTAGGGTAGCTGGTGCCTGTACCGCTCAGCGGGCAATACCGCCCACCCGTATTCCCCAGGATTGGCGGCGAAAATTTTTTTTTCTCTTTTTATTATGCAAATATTTGATGACAACAAGTAATTTTAACAGAAATTTTCAATTTTCTCCCATGGAAACATCGTTAAAAAAAATCTCAATCATTTCTTATGGAATTCTTAAAATATAACGACCCCAGAATTTAAGATTTCTCAAATTTTCAGTTGGTCCATAATTGAATGGAGTGCGAAATATATGTTGGTTATACATTTCTACATCCATTGCGACCTTTTCGATAGCAGAAAAATATCTTCATCAGTTATTATTGGCTATTTTATCAGCCTCCGCGTTTGTGGGTAATTCCCCCCAGAGTTTGTGGGTAATGGCGCCCAAAAGTTCTATAGGGCTGCTAGACTCTGCAGCTAGTCTTGTCAATTTTGTTTTCATCACGTAATGGTGACATTTTTCGATTCCTACGTGAAGAGAAATTTGCCAGAGAAATGAATATTATGATGATAAAAATTCATTAATAAATATTTAAATTTATAGAAATTATTGTGCAGCACCAGAAAAATTATTAGACGCGCTGTAATGTTCCCAAGAGTGATAGTAGGGTAGTTGGTGCATGTACCGTCCACTTTATTACATTTCTACATCCATTGCGACTTTTTCGATAGCAGAAAAATATCTTCATCAGTTATTATTGGCTATTTTATCAGCCTCCGCGTTTGTGGGTAATTCCCCCCAGAGTTTGTGGGTAATGGCGCCCAGAGTTTCTATAGGGCTGGTAGACTCTGCAGCTAGAGAGCGGTCGAGTGACAGCTCAATTGTTTGGGGTAGTCGGTGGCCACTGGAACATGTGGTAAATTCAGGATCATTTATTATTACTCACATGAAATCTTTCTCACAATGGAGCCAAAGAATGGAAACAAAGGATGAAAATAGGAAAAATTATAACAGTTGGTCTGCATTGCTCAAATAAGTCATTAAAACAAGGTGGGCGGTATTGAACACATGCCGGGCGGTATTACCCTCAAAGTTCGATTCCATTGCTCATGGGCCGATGGCAACTGAATTACATAATTAAATATGTTTAATGTTAATAAAAAATCTGTCCTCTTCACATCTTTGAGTAAACACCTCGAAGAACCCATTCTAACAGTTTATGACTCCTTGTAGAGTTCCAGGGTGGAAAAAAAGACTCATTTCCCTTAGGTGGACGGTACATGCACCAGCTACCCTACTATCACTCTTGGAAACATTACAGCGCGTCTAATAATTTTTCTGGTGCTGCACAATAATTTCTATAAATTTAAATATTTATTAATGACTTTTTATCATCATAATATTCATGAATTTCTCTGGAAAATTTCTCTCCAAATAGGAATCGAAAATGTCACCATTACGTGATGAAAACAAAATTGACAAGTTGAAGTGCATGATTTTATGAAAAAGTCCCCCTCATTCTCCTTCGTTAATGAACCACGAGAGAGTGGAAATCCCCATCAGCGAATAAACGACCGGTTACAAGGATTTCAACTGCGCCCTCCAATCGCGTGTGACGGCGAGCAAATTTAGTGAGCATAAGAAAAAAACGCAGACACGAGAAAAAATACAACTCCACTTTTGTTCTTTTTCATTAATGATTTACCGAATGCGCAGGAAAAACGTGAATATTCATTGGTGTTGGCTGCTATATTTCAGCGATTGGAATAAAAAAGGATAACTGCTCGATATTATGTCTTACCTTCTCCTGAAATCATTGAGTGTGGAATTTTTTCCGAGCATTTAGACCGCCCGATGAAATTACGTAATCCATTTCTTCACAAGGAGCATTCGTAATTCCGTAAAAACTTCCTGTATTTCACCCAATTGTTGATCTCAGATTGACGATCGAACAAAGCGATTTGCATTGAAATCAGTGTACGGTAGAAAATCACCCCAAAGGTATTGGATACACTCGAAAGTTGCACTATCACGTGCACGACGAGCAGTCTGACACTTCCGACAATGTATTACCATGGGTTAAAGACCAGAAAGACTTGTTTTACGGTGGCACTATACATGGTATTTTGTTGATCATTGCCAATGGCTTCGCCAAACCCTTTCGCATAAATTATGCGTTAAAAAATGTTGCCAGACATAAACATACTCTTTCGTTCGTTATTCTTGGGGACTACACTCACTGATAGAAAATTACTCTTGAAATTTCAAGAGAAAAAGCTTGAAACTTTTAACAACTACAAAGTTTCATGAAATTTCTGGATATTTCTTCATCGACGAATCAGTTAATTTCTTGAATATTCAAGTAATTCGCGATTCTCAAGGTCATACGGCACTGAAAAACCTTGAAAATTTTGAAAATTCAGGCAACAATTTTTCTGAATTCTCATGAGAAAACTTGATACCACCATTTGTTTACTACGAAGCTATCGGCAAATACCGGATAATTTTGAAGCTCTTGGGGTATTATAATACAAGTTTGATGGACCGTTGATTAGTTATTCCTAGGAAAGTGACATTCGATTTGATTTAGAGGGGAAAACCTCATAAAATTCCAGATTTTACTGGAAATTGAATGAAATTTCAAATTTTTGAGCTGCAGGAGGACAAGAATTCCCTCACTTATTCACATTTTCAATGAAAATCAGAATATTGAGTACGAAATTACGCTGAAATATCTATTAATTAGAAATTTCAAAATATATTCATCTGAATTTTCCTGATTTCTATTAATTTTTACGCAGTAATTCAACTGAAATGGGCAGTTTCCTCAGTTTATTCTAAAACTTAAGATTTTCAGTAACAAAATTCTTTGAAATTTCAGTGAAACTATAACGTGATAAAAATTTCCAGGAACTGCGCTGTAAATTTCAACCAAAAATTTTGAAAAGTGTACAACAGAAATTGTCCGACAGATATAAGTAAAAATCCCTGAACGTAACGGAATGACTCATTTCAAATGCACGATTTATTGACCATTTTTCTCACATGATTCAATACACACATTTAATGATTGAAAATCTCCGAATCTCTAGAATGGCTTGCGCCAAGGTGTGAAAGGGACTTGGATATCGATAAAGTATTCGGAGCATTGCGGTTTCAAGTTACGCCATCTGCAATATGTCCAAAGATATTTATCGAGAATAGAAGTTGATCAGCGAGATTTAATCAATAATTGAGTTATGAAAGATGTCAATTTGAATATGAAAAAGAATTGCAGACAGAAAGGAATATATATCACGCTATTGTCAGACAATAAAATTCTCTGAGTTTTTCGAAAGTATTTTCGGGACGTTGTCATTGAAAACTCCGTCATCTTGATGAGCTTCAAAGGTTCTCTGAAAACTTTAAGTCAATCGATAAAATCTCATCAATGACGAAATTGGGGAAAGTGCTCAGGCAAATGTGAAATCTTTAACTTCACTGTTCATTTCCATGGTTATTGATTCTGTAAATTTAGGTAATTGGATAATGGAAAAGAATTCACCGAGAGAAATATTCAATAAAAATTACGTATCTTCTCCGTAATTCCGAAGTGAAATGTGGTTGTAGGAAATTTTACGGAACTGTCACAGAATTTTTCCAGAGCGTTTCGTAATTTTTATCTGAATCTCCTATGAAAAATTACGATACCGTCACTTAAATTTTCATTTAACATTTCTCTCCGTGTATCAATCCTCAATTTGGTGTCAATTTGCGACACTTCTTTTTCAATCAAAGCTTCGTCGTAAAAATTTTTATTGAAAAGTTTCTGATTAATTTCAACATTTTTGGTGGAAAATCACTATGATTTGAGTGATTTTAAACAAATGGTTTTTTTGAATAAACGGAAGGATTAATTTGATCTGAATAAAAAGTCTCCACCACGAAGTGCTTGATTAAACCCATTGATTTGATTCAAATAAAGTTTATTTAATTCAAACATACTATTTCTTTGGGTGTAAATAATGCTCATGACAGAAAGCATTATTTATGCTGTTTATATTAGAAAATTACTAGACTACCTAATCTATCTAAATATTTTTACATACTCAAATTTTTCCTTTCTGTTTTTTTCTTCATACTAGGGGGCTACGCTCCTCTAGCACACCCCATATGGCCCCCAATAGACCCATCTGACTTCCACGACTCTTATTCTGACCATTGTGACGCTTGTGACCCTTAATCTGTTCCTCGTGTACTTTATTCTGTTCCTCATTATAACCCTCGTGACCCTTATTTTGACCCTTGAATTTTGATCATTTTGGAGTCTTAATTTCGAGTACCAAATTTTCATCACCAGAAGTCGATTCGGATTTTTATAACATAAAGAGATAGAATATATCCGTACATAAGTATATTTGTTTTTTTTTCGGTGAATGAACCTTTTCAAAGGTTTCGAAGCTATAGAAATAAATCAGGAAATCTGTCAATCAAAAAATGTGAACACATCTTCTATCAATAGTTGTTACACAAGCGACGAATGCCCGCATCGAGTGTTTCCTCAACTATGACCAGTAACAAAAACAGAAATCCTAATTTTTTCCCCCGTCAATCGTTGTCTTTTTGTGTCGTTTCATGTCTCAATTGCCGTTCATAAATTGAGCAATTCACACCACAACAAGAAATAATGTCAAAGGAGTATTTATTGAATCAAGAATATTATTGAATTCGGAAAAATATGCTTGAATCAGCAATTTCAAAATTCTTAATTCAATGATACGAGAATCTCTATCGAGAGATATTTGTTCACATCTTGATTTCAATAGAAGTTCCGTGACCGGTGGAGACATTGTGAGATAGTGACCAAGGACGTCACATTTTTTGAAGAGTTCTCCTATTGCTTCTGCTATTGGGCAATTTCGTGGTATTTCATAATAGGAGAATTGAAAAATAGAAACAAGTACACGGAGAGAAATTTTTGTATAAAAATTATTCTTCCGTTCTGTAAAAGTGTATCATGAGTCATCGTTTCTTCATTTCTATCCCGAAATTTAGTAAAAATTAATACATGATGCTCAAATTTTATTCTACGTTGGAGAAATTTTATCCCGATAAAAATAAAAATTACCGTACCGGTAGGGTAAAATTTATCAACCGCTCGAAAATTTTCGTTGTTATCTACATAAAAATTATTGAACTGCAGGGGTAAAATTTATTATGCGTCAGGATAAAATTTCTCTAGCGTAGAATAAAATTTGATCATTATATATTAATTTTTACTAAATTACGGGATAGAAATGAGGTAATGATGACTCATGATACACGTTTATAGAACGATAGGATAATTTTTATCAAAAATTTCTTTCCATGTAGGAAATTGCTCTTGTCTTGTATGTGATTTTTCAATGGCCAGATTTCCTGAAATTTCAGTGGAACTTGAACATGATAAAATTTCCGGAATTTTGCATAGAAAATTCAGGGGAAAAAAATTTTAACAGTGTAGTTTCCAAATGTTACGAGTTAGACAAACAGATGAGAACAATTCTCACATCTGCTTCACTTGAATATGAAGATCAATTTTCCTGAGAAATTTCAATTCGTGGAATCACCGGAGGGTTATCGTGAATTCGTTTCTCGTTCTGAGGGTTTCGTGACTCTTGTAAGGAGTGGATAAAAATCATTGCACTCAGCTCGTATTCCAGTGATCGAAATCGAATGATTTACTCTTTTCATTCGGCACGAAATTTGTTTGTTTCTATATGCCGAACAAGTTGATCTGACAAAAAGGAATTCGAAAACGTGAAACACTGAAAGAAAGAATTACTCCTGCCCAACAATTATAATGCAGAGAGAATACATTCATAACAAAGGAATATTATTTTCAAGTATTGAATTCCTATTTTAAATATACGTGAAATTATTTCATTTCACTACTTAAAATATTTCCATAACTGAGACTCATACAGATAATTGTAATTCAGATAATTTTTCATTTTGTTGGAATTAAATTCGAATACCTATTTTATTTAAGTTTCGGGAAAGCAAATGAATCATTTCTAATAAAGAAAATCATTTCTATTTGGTTGACAATAATATTTATATTTGATTCTCATGTCCAGCTCTGCTTTGTGGACAGAAGTGCACGGAGAGAAAAAATTATTTTTGACACAGATGATTTCCCTGATACAAAAAAATATTCTCTTGTCAATTTCGAGAGTCGTGAAATCTCCTGAAAAAATAATATTATCCTCACACTGAGGAAAATAAATCTTTCAACAGGGTGAGATTCTCTTGTCCCGAGAAAATTTTCAAGTGTTAGCATAAGTCTTCCCATAAATTCATATAGTTTACGTTATATCTAGAAATTAACGGATTGTGAGAATTCACACTTTCCCGATCCGATCATTCATCATCTCCAACTCAGGAATTTTTGTTTCGATTGCACGACGAACACTTTGATTATTAATTCAAGTGTATAGAAAATTGATCTCAAGTGTTGTGCTCTTTGTGCAAGATTTTATGTAATCAAAGTCCCGATGAAGAAAAATTCTAGATATAGCGCAAACTACATGAATTTATAGGAAGGATATCATTTCTAGTCTTGAGAACGCTTAAAAATTCTTTCGGGGCAAGAGAATCTCATCCTATTGGAAAACTTTTTTCTCTCAGTCTGAGAATGAAATTATTTATCAGGAGATTTCACGATTTTTAAAATTGACAAGAGAATATTTTCTTGTAAATTTTCTTTAGTATCTTCTTTTGTATTCAGTAAATATTCTTCGTCAAAGTAAGGGAGGGTCAGACAAATAGGACGTATTGAGATATTTTCCAATTGTCAATATCTTCACTTATAAATGAAGACATTGACAATTAGAGAAGATCACAAAACGTCCCATTTTGCCCGACCCTCCCCTATTTTTTCTCTCAGTGTCAATGCAATCACTGAATATATAAAAAATGTTGTGTTTTTTACTCGCTGATTTTACCAATCAATGCCATCGGAGCACTAATTTAATAATTCCCGAGTAGTCCAAAACGAAGGTATCATTGGTGTCCCATAGCGAATTAGAGTCCTTTCACTCTCGATGCACGACAGAGGTCAGACTCATCCTCTCTTCCAGACAGTTACCGCACCTATTCGTTTCAAAATATACTAAAAAGGAAAGTTTGAGACCATTAAGAATTATCTAAAAAATTAGTGCCTATCATGCAATTTTCGATTTCCGATAGCTCAAGAATTTGAAAACTATCGGATACTCCGAGATAACTTTGACCAGGAAATCAACATTGTTTATACCAATATGAAAAGCTTATTTCTAAACAGGAAAGTGTGAAGGTAACATTCCGATTTGAAACACAATTTTTCTGTCTCGCTCTCTTATTTTGTAGCTTTTAGGGATTTCACACCATTGACAAATAATGTTTTGTGACTTTCAACTTGTAGCAGCAGGAAGAACGAAATTCCACAATTTACAGGAATTTTCAAGTGGAAATGAATATTAATTGTCAAGTTTTCTTGAACTTTTAGAGCAATTCCTTTAAAATTCTTCGAATTCCAGGAATTTTGAAGGAATTCCCTGAAAATTCCAAGGAATCTGGAATTTAGGGATAGATTTCTCTGAATGTTCTTGCTTTGCCATTAATTTTTCCGAAATGATTGAGTTGAAATTTTAATTCTCACGGTTTTTTCTATGACATTATTAATTTTTAATCGCAAAATTGCTTGAAATTTCCAAGACTGTTATCGAATATTTCAGTAGAAAATTTTTAACAGTGTTCATTATGCTGAATAATAATATATTCTCCTGCATTTTCCCGATTTCTGTTAATTTGCAAAAAATAATTGAACTGAAATTCACACTTTCCATTGATGCTCTTCTACTATTTTCAATTTCCATTCACAAAATTCCTTGAAATCTCTCTGGAAGAAAACATTTCGAAGAAGTGCGCTTCCAATTTGTGCTGAATTTTTTTTTTAACAGACCATCACGCATCTTCCGATTTCATGAATAAATAAAATTCAATTTCCAGGAGTCAGAAATAAAAAAAAATCATTAACACGCATAATAGTGATGGAAAAAGCCATCAGTGTAGACAAAATTATGGTTTTGAACGGAAAAACAAAAACAAGAAACACTGGTTCGATTGAAAGCGATAAAATGATCGTAGGACTCGTCTAGTTTTTCTGCTGGATTGCTCCTCACCTTTAGTATCCGGGCGACACGCGATTGAGCGCGCCAGGTAGTGTCGATCGTATATGTCCAGAGCGCATCCTTTCACTCTCGGTTAAAACGTGTCCCACAGACACAAACAAACGTAAATACATTGCGCGCGTAATCCCGTCTGCTCGACCTTTTCCTCCAGTCGATGCAAAGAAGATGCGAGACTCAAACTCACGGTGAAAGCGTGTTAGCTCCATTATATATAGATTTTTTCAATCTCTCAAACAGTTCGTTTTATCGCAGCCCAGCTTTGCGTCATTGAATTCATGATCGTTGAAGCCTTCGGGAGGAGGGCCTCTTTTTCTGGAGAAAGATCGAATGAATGATCAATTTTTCTCTTTCAGATCCACGAAGACATGACGCCGGAAGAGATGCTGTCGGTGTTCCAGACGTCGTCTCATCATGACGGTGAGTTGGAGGAGAAAATAATCGAGGATGAAGGGAAGGGAAGGGAGAGAGTTGATATGAAATGGTTTTGTGATTAGCATCATTTCGTTCATTCATTATTGATTTATAGAAAGCAATGATGACCGTTTTTAATCATATAGACGAGGATACAAAGGAATTCGGGGAAAGTATAACCGAAATTTATCTGACCTCGTCCCTTCACGAGAACAGATATAGTCCAGGTTCACTAGGATGTACTACTTTTTAAAAAGAGGAATTTGGAAAAAACTGCTTTAGGAATAAATACTATTGGTTAAGTACTATTATTATAAATACTAGTATTTTTAATTGATTTATCTTGCCATGGATATTTATCTCTGGATATTTTGAATCCTATTGTTGCCTTCGTTTGTTGGACTATTTTATTGACGTGTGTCAATAAAATAAATAAATAAATAAATAAATAAATAAATGAATAGTGATTCATGGATAAATATGCTTCATCTGAAATTATTCAAGTACGTCGACAATTTTTCTTTCTTTTATTTTCAGCATTTAGTGTTGAATATAAGAGTTTATATTCATATTCAATTTCACTCCAACAAAACTAGTATCTTAAATTAAGATATTGAGACATGAGACATTCTGGACATTCTTGGTGTCCGTCTCGAGGATATTTTATTTCAAACTTGCGATGTCTCGTCTGCTTCTACAAATACTTCATTCATTGTTTTTACTGGCTGAACATTTTGAATAAAAAGAGCTAATAATTTTTTCACTGATACATTTGGTCACGTTAAGAATAACGGTCATGGAGCAGAATGGGAAGAGAATTGGGAAAATGAGGGCAAAAACATTTTCGTGATTGAAAATGCTGATGAAATATATTATTACAGTGCACGTATCACAAAAAAATACTTTTCATCACAAGTGCGTAAAGTGAAATTTTACGCACGTTTCACGCATTGTGATGAAAAATGGGGTGCGACACTAGTGGAAAAGGTGTTTTTTAACCCTCAGGAGGGTACGGGTCAAAAACACTTTTACGCACTCCTATCGAAAAATATTATTTACACACTCGCATCGATATAGGGGAGGATGGGGTAAAATGGACACTTTTGTCTTTTTTTTTGAATGTTCGTAGCTCAGAAACAGATTTATCAATTGAGCTCAGTCTAAGCTCATCACAAAGAGGAATCATTGTTCTTTCTATTGAAAAATAAAATTATTCCATTTCATGAACAATTCAACACGTCATCAACATTTCAAAAAAAAGTCAAGTGTCCATTTTACCCCACCCTCCCCTATTCTATTCGGTTTATTTGAAAAAAAGGCATAGTTCGTCATTCGTTGAACGCAACTTCACTGACAAAAAATATACTTCATACACATATGCGCCGGGATTTTTTAGCTCGTGTGATTGGCAGCCCTCGGCTTCGCCCCGGGCCGCCAACTTCGGGCCTCCACTCGTGAAAAACCCGTGGAATGTGTATCGTAATAACTATTTCTCTATGCAAGATATTTTGTCTTGTCAATTATCGAGCCATGAGCTTCTTGTTGAAAGAAAAGACATGCTTCTCAAATAGTATATTTCAGGGCGAGTGCCGTGGTTTTTTTTACTCGCGTGGAGTTGGCGTCCGAACCGAAGGCGAGACCCCATGGCACTAGCCGTGAATGATATTTTTCCGTAGTGATTTGCACTTTTACGAATTTGGGGAAGGGCCAGTACCAATCCCCGGACGAGGAAAAGTGAGGATCAGTACGGAAATAGAATATTGTGCATCAAGGGCGGAAAGTCATGTTTTCCGCCCGACACGGAGAGAAATATTCAATAAAAATTACGTATCTTTTCCGTAATTCCGGAGCGAAATGTGGTTGTAGGAAATTTTACGGAACTGTCACGGAATTTTTCCGGAGCGTTCCGTAATTTTCATCTGAATCTCTTGTGAAAAATTACGATACCGTCACGTAAATTTTCTGAGTCGATTCCGTAATCGGTGAGTGAAGTGAGAGTTCCGTAATTTTTACTGAACATTTCTCTCTGTGGAGGTGCACATGCTATTTTTTAACACGCCTGCAAAGGAAAGTTCGTATTTTGCTCTTTGATGAGCGGGAGGAAAGTACGAACTTTCCGTGCAGGTGCGTGAAAAAACCTTTTTTTACTCAGTGTACATCAACTTATCCTCACCACGAAAAAACGCGAGTATCATTTCATTCCCGTCAATCCCCGGAAAAAATTCACACGATTATCTTCAAGATATCTCAATTAATCCACCATCAGTAGTCATATTAATCCGCCATGAGGTAGACCCGATCTGTTCCAGCCAAAATAAAAAAACAATTCGTCAGAGGATATATTTCACAGCATTAAGAATGATTACCATCAGATCCTTTCAGTCCCCCCTTTCGGACAGGATAATCTCCCCAGGATAAACATCTCAATTAACCCGTCACGTATGCATACTAGTCTTCTTGATGTATTTTTTTCTCTCCTCACGCCGCGAATATCAATTATGATCAATGAGAATGCTCTTTTGTGTTCCAGTCAGGCAAACAGATTATCCAAAAATATTGTTTTTTTTTCTTGCTTGAAAAAAATGTCTGACTCGTGGGAGAACTATCGATTCGTCATAGTGCTCCTTGCCGTTGCCACTAAATTTTCATAAAAAATGGATAAAATTATATTGATATAAGTTATGCATGCAATTTCGCGAGGTCCGGGGTTGATTCGATGACCGCATCGATACGAATTGATTATTCATCGATTTATTTATAACTTTAATTCTCATTTTCGTCATTTCTTGGTCATCTTTGAGTGTTCTTCACATAAAGAGCATCCAGGAATCTACAGATTCATGTTGACATGAATCACCGGCGTTTTATGAATTATTTATCAGTGTAGTTACTCACTAGAGTTGTATGACCCTTGAAGTACTTCCTTGTGTCAATAACGGAAAAATTGTGCAAATATTATGTTCCAAAGATTTCGAGGATGAATATTCCTCCTATTCGATTTATTAAGAGCGTACCAAGGCTATTGGAACCGATAATCCGCGATAATGGACTCCAAGATCTTCCATTTTGAAAGAATTGAAAATATTTTCGACTTATCAATCGAATCAGTATGCAGTTTTATGGAAATATTCTGTTATAGAAAGAGCAAAATTTGAATATACACGGAGAAAAAAAAATTTAACCTTCAAGGACGGCACTCAGGAATTTATCAGGGATTTATTTACAATTATTAGGGATTTGCGATCGTGAAATTTTGTGAGTACAAAACTAAAATTCAGTGATTTTGTTAACAATTTTCAGTGACATCACTAATTTTTAGAGGAATGTCAGGAATTTTCAGGAACCCATCTCTAATTTCTGGGAATCTATTGTATCATCAAATTTCAGGGATTAAAATCACTGATGATCGGGATCATTCTAGTCAGTGTCCAGTACCACCAATAATTCTCGGAAATGCATGAGTTTTGAGGGGGACTGAGATGGAAATTTTACAATTTGACTGAATTTTCAGTGGAACATGAACATTCAGCAACAACATGATATGAATTTGCAATTTTTCTCTGAATTTTCCTGATTTTTCTGAATTTCCACAGAACAAGTAAACTGACAAATCAAGTATTTTATTGATTTTCAGATCGTTTGAACAGAAAATCAATGAAATATTTCATTTTTCAATGATAAAATTTTCGGAAATTTTCGTGGAACTTGAACACGATAAAAATTTCCAGAATTTGGCACGGACAATTCAGACGAAAGCATTTAACATTTAAATTTTCCACTGAAATTTCAAGGAATTTTATCATTGAAAATTCACAATTTAATGGAAAAATCCGTGAGAACTGTAAATTTAAGTTCAATTATTCCGGGAAAATTAATGAAAAATCTGGATAATTCAGAGGAATCTCTCCTTGAATTCCAGATTCCTCTGAATTGTCAGGAATTCCGTCAAAAATTCCTAAATTACCAAGAATTTCCCTCTGTTAATGAGAAACTGTTGAGATTCTTGATTTATGGGAGATCAGTTGATATTCCTTTGTTTTTGTCCGTAAAATTCAGCTGAATTTTTTCAACAGTGTAGAATGATTAGGTTACATAGAAAAAGTCGATTGTTTTTGTTTATAGTTGAGTCCAATTTCTTTTTGAAAGACATGACATGAAATGACATCAGATTCCTATCTACAACTGAATGTAGTTGATTGCAGAGTTTTATTTATCTATTTTTTATTTAAATTAAACATGGCACGTGTTTAAATCTTCAAGATCTTTGGCGATCGAGTCACGTTAAAAGCTCAAGCGGCAAAAAAAACGAAAGAAAAAATTCCATCGATGATTCATCACAGGTTGCTCATAATTTTTCTTATGATAATTTATAATGAGACTTCAAGTGACTTCAAGTTCATATCGGAAATTGTGAGGCCATAATGAATTAGAGACGATGGGAAATGGAAGACCATGGCATTTGAGTGATGAGATCTTGACGTTACACTGTAAACGAATGGGAATTGAAATTCCATGGCCTTCAATTTTTCACCCATTACAATTCACTGTACTTTAACAAATTCAGATTCTGACCGGATGCCACTCTCGAAGTTTCATTGTCAATACGGAAAAAAATGAATGGTCAATCAGCGATGGGTGATCGATAATTTTTTTCAATATATTTTTTTCTTCAATTTTATTTCGACACCACAAGTCACTACAAACTAATTCCAAACTGAATCTCATTTTTCAAACATTTTTGTGAAATACCACCAAAAAAATTTTAGAATGTGTTCATTCTCAAGACGAAGGTCAAAATTCAAATTATCAATAAAGAATGAATGATTTTGGCTAATAATCTGATGTGATTTGAGCCATCACTATGAATGAAAGTATATCCAAACTCCACGCGAGTCGTTGAGTGTGGCAAGAAGCAATAAATTTTAAATGCGGAATAAAAATTAAAAAATTTTAACTTTGACGAGAGTGAAAAATTCATCCGTCAAATTCTCTCTACCCTTATTGTTTTGAACAGTAGTTTCTCGTTTGGCGAGGGCGTCCTGTACATTCGGAGTACCCAGAAACATCAATTATTCACCACATAAGTTTGACACTGATGATAATTTTCGTACTAGAATTTTTATTTATTTTGTTTTAATTTTTTGAAATTTTTTCTACATTTCAATCTTCTTGCTAACCTCGGAATTTCATTTTCTTATAAGACTCTGTGATTATTTTACCACTTCTACATTTATTATTATAAATAATACTAGATTGCCAATTGAACACGAACTCAACCAGAATATTTTTATTCATGTCAAATTCTGTTTAGAATTTATTTTAGATTTTTATCTTCAAAATTTAAGTTATGTTTATACTACTTTAATTTACAAACTCGAATTCATTATTCAGAAATAGAACAGACGTCCAATGCAAAGAACAGTAAATAAATAAATGAATAAATAAATAGATGAATGAATACCTGCATTATTTGCCTGGGTACCCCAGATTTTTCCTTGCAAGTCGTTGTAGTCATTCAATTCAGTATATTTTTTCACATTCCCTTCTATTATTATGTTCGCTTTTGGACCTTTTTAATAGATGAATTGTCAATTTGAAAATAAACCTCACAAGAAGCGGTGTATAGCAAAAAAAATTCTCATTTCATTGCATCGAAGCTACTGAACCTAATTTTTCTTAATTATCAAAAAAAATTCCCAATGAGTCCAAAAAATTACAGAATTTTCCTCGGGCATGAAAAAAAGAATAAAAGGGTCATTGACGGAACCAATGGGAAAGCTAAATTTCGAATAGATTATTAAGCCAAATATTTCTATGTATTGATTTTGATTTGGGCAACGCTAGGTTTGATTCTTCTTTTTTACCTTGATTGATGATACTAATTGGGAATATCAACAGGGGAACTCAGAGATAACGAAGATTTGATGTATCAGAAATAATCGACAAATTCCGAGGTAATTTTATTCTCGACAGTAATCTTCTATATTTTTAACCTTTTAAAAAGACAGTAGAATGATTTCAATTTAATCCAGAATTTCAATCAAAATTTATAACAAAAATTTTGTAATAGAAAAATGTGGCAACATTTGAATTGAACATTTATCAGCTATAATACCCCAAGACCTTCAAAATTATCGGATATTTCCCGAATGTTTTGTTGCATAGCAACTAGAGGGATCAGTTTTGCAGTAAAATCCCTCGCACTGCACGCTCGGGATTTTAATTTGCAAAACTGATCCCGATCGTTGATATGCAGGAATACTTGAGGGAAATATTCGATGACTTTTGAAGGTCGAGGGGTATTCGGAGGACAACTTTTTAAATTTTGATTTTGGCCGATCAGGGTGCAGTGTTCGGGCACGGAGAGGAATATTCAATAAAATTTACGTATCTTTTTCGTAATTCCGGAACGAAATGTGGTTGTAGGAAATTTTACGGAACTGTCACTGAATTTTTACAGAGCGTTCCGTAATTTTTATCTGAATCTCCTATTCTCCTGTGAAAAATTACGATACCGTCACTTAAATTTTCTGAGCCGATTCCGTAATCGGTGAGTGAATTGTGAGTTCCGTAATTTTTACTCAATATTTCTCTCCGTGGGGTTACGGGACACATTTCACCAAAATGTGAGAAATATCTGTCAAATTCGTAGAAACCAATTGGCACGCTACAGGGAAATTATCAGACAGATAATTTGCAGCCGGGGAAATTATCAGTGTGAAAGGCGTCACGTGACCCCGAATACCGCACTCTGATTGGTCAAAATCAGAATTGAGCAAATTGTCATGTGTATTTGAAAATAACTGCGAAATTATTGAAAAACGCTATATTATAGATTTTTGGACATCAGAATAGACACCTTCAACGTGATAATGCAATAATTCATAGATCAATCATTATCTGTTGTTCAGTGCCTGCATATGAGGTGGTTCCAGTCCTCCACACGCCACACAAGCGAAGCCCGGAAGTGACGCCGGAAGTTCACCTCAGAGCGTTTGGAGAGAATTACAATTTATCACTGAAGTCAACGAAAGGTCTTCTCAAGCCTGGAAAGCATGTGTCCATGTGGACAGTATCCAGAAATGCCTCCAGTCCCGATGGCCTCGACTACGAAGAAGTACCAGAGGTAATTGTGAATCAAAACAAATGTGCAATAAGGAATATGAACATTCATAAATTTATGGAGCTTTTCGCGTACTCATTATGGAAATTTATTCGCAGAAACTATTCATTTGTGTTTGAATTATGCAGTGAGGAAGCTAATTCATTCGAAACTTTATTTCATTCAAATAATAGTGGTCATATTTTTCTAACTGAATGAAGGAACTAAATAACAAAATAGTGGAACGTAAGAAGTCAATTCTACACATCTCATCCATTCAAATGAAATCAATGGGAATGGAGATTAATTATAAAAATTTATCGGGATAAACTGATAATTTCAATTCTTTAAGTAGATAGTTGACCCTCCTTTTTTATAATTTGGAATTGGTATTTCCCGAAATTAATAATTGAATGAATTGATATTTGAAAAATAGAAAACCGCCGCCATGTGCCAGTTTGTGCCTCTTAGGAAAGCCATATATCAGTTATTTCCGCATGAAAAAATTTCATTGAAAAACCTAGCGAATTCGCTAGACAATTCTATTGGATTTCTGTTGAACTTCCTAGTAGTTTTTGACCAATTCTATTAAAATGTTCAATAAGAAATATTCCCCTATAGAAGAATCCGTGTCCGTAACCAAGGTTTTTTTGGTTTCGATGCTCAAATCCTTCTTCCTTTTTCATGAATCATGAGTTCAATGTACTCAATTTAAAACTTCAATGTGCTCATTAAATAGGCTTTAAAATGAGAGCTGATTTGCCCAATTGTGCCAATTTTTCATTAACTTATGAGAGTTTTAGGCGACAATTGAATTTTCATGATTCATTTGGAAAATTAACTTTAATGAAATTAACAAAATTACTTAATTTGTAACGTTCAGCCCAAAATCTGGCAATTAAACTATAGTATCTGGGGGACTGATACTTTATACTGAATTGGCAGAATAACTAAACAACTAAATTCGTGAATAAAATCTGGTATCTGGTAAAATCTGGGAAATTTGGTAAATCTACAAAACTGGGATAATTTAGTATGGAAATTAGTTAATGGACGGACCGGCGTTTTTAATTGCATTCCCTCAAATGAACCCTGGCAACTGATGCACCGGAGCACAAGAGAAAATTGAAACAAAAATTCAAAATACATATTTTTGAGCCAAAGATAGTCAAAAGGTTCGTCGCAAATTAATCAATCTAAAATTAATTGATTGAGTTGGTCAATCAATCAATTCAGTTTATTAAATTAGCAGATTATAAACATTGATCAAAATAAAAATTGATCATTGTATTTTTTCCCATCACCTGTTTCCGAGATAAATTGATAATCAACGAAAACGCTCTTATTTAACATTAGTTTGGATTGATTCGAATTGATCCATTCATGTAATTATTAATATTGATTAACGTGATGGAAACTGTTTAGGGAAGCGCCGACATCGGTGACATCTACCAGGACCCAGATAACATGGCGTCCATATTGTTGCACCGAGATGCAAATGGGAAAGTCCTCGTGGTAAGTTATTTTAACGTGTTCCTCTGCATAATTTCCCCCTCATTTTTACCTTCATTTCCTTACATCACACCGCGATCCACGGTTATTATGCTCTCTCGGATGTTTCATCAAAACTCGGAACCGAGCCCACGATGAATTGAGGTGCACCAGGCCAGTCAACAATGCGGCTGGAAGTCTCTCTTATAATTATAGCGATAACACTGAGCCACCGAGCGCGGTTTTGTCTGACGAAAACAATTAGAGGGTGGAGAACAATCGTGGCCAGTCGCATGGCGGATGATGTATTGCGAGATGACCAGAAATTGTAATGCAATACTTCCAGGGATTTGGTTTGTTTTTTGTTTCGTTAGACTGTCTCAATGCGATTTCTCAAGGAGTTGGTGATGTTGAGAAGGAATTTGATTGATTTCATTTTGAAATCAATGATCGATTTGACAATTCCGTGGTGCAGGCAAGGCAGTTTAAATGGATCGTGAGATATTTATTGATCATTGAATTAGTTTAAGACAGAGAGAAATACGGCTACAGAATTATCCTTGAATTTTTGTTACTGAATAGTGACTAAATATAGTTAGCGGGGCAAATTCATTTATTCCACGTCTAGTATTCAAAATACTAAATTAAATTTCTGGCTCTAAATGTTCAGAATCAGATCAAGATTATGGGAATATACATAACTCCAATGGTGCCAAAGTGGTCCCTTTTCAAGCGGACGTCCACATGTTTCTGCTATCGAAAAGCTCGCAATGGTTGTGGAAATTTATAACGAACATATATTTCGCACTTTATTTAATTATGGATCAACTGAAAATTTGAAAAATCTTAAATTCTGGGGTCGAAATATTTTAAGGATTCGGTAGGAAATGATTTGGATTTTTTTAAACAATGTTTCCACGGGAGAAATTTGAAAATTTCTGTTGAAATTATTTATTGTTTATCAACTATTTGCATAATAAAAAAAAGAAAAAAGAATGTTCTCAGCCAATCCTGAGAGTCATTTAATAAAAACTTGGCAAAAAATTTTAATAGTGTGCACACCCACTCGTATCCTTGCAGAATTGTTCCCTGGAGTGAGAAAAAAAATTCTACTTTTTGCCAACGACTATATTTTTTCAAATTATACAAACAGTTATTTTCACAGTTACAACCAATTTTCTCTCCCGTAAATGATGAATTCAATAACAATGGTTCGATACAATCACCACGTTCATTACCATTCAAAGATGGTGATTATTACAAACTGCTGTTCGCGCGGGTTATCAAGGTAAAAGACAATTAGAGGGTGACGAAGTGCTGGTGTCCTCGCGTGGCTACTCCATCTTTTTTCAATTCTCTCTTTAATTTCATCGCGATAGACACACCCCCCCGCGTACCACAGAAGCCTTCTCGGTAATAACGATGTACCTCGGTCACGCACCGCTCATCATCGTGACTGCACACCTTCACTTGATGTCCTCAAGTTGCTTGCAATATAGACACTTTATTATCGTTGGTGCGACATACTCGACTGAATTACGAGTGAATATTTAGTCTTCGGATTCTTGTTAAGGGGGAGTTCAGCCTGGGAAAATTTTTTTTTCATTTTTCAAGACATATATGAAAAAATTCAACGGAAAACTTAGAGAATTCGCTAGAAAATTCTATTGGAATCCTATAGGAATTCCATGGGATTTCTATAGGATTTCTGTTGGAATTCTATTGGAAAATTCTATTTGTTTTTTGCGCTGATTTTATTGAGTATTCGATAAGAAAAAGTCAATAGATTTCGAATTACTGTTCGAATTTTTCTCTTGAGATTTTTTCTATTAGAATTGTTGGGCACAAATTTTCCGTTGTAATTTTCCGCAAGTTTTTTCCGCTGCATTTTGTTTTGTTTTACATTACAGAATTCTTATATGAATGATCCACCTCTTGAGACAAATATTTCGTTGGTGTGGAAAGTAGAATAATTATTCATATTTGAAACTTTTAAACCAAACCAAACAATAATTTTTTTGGTAATTTTCAAGTCGCGATTTTTCTGGTCCAAACAAAATCTTGTTTGAGAACTTGTGCGTTTTTCTCTCACTGTTGAGAGGGCTCCTCTCAGTAATCCAGATTTGCCAGCGCACTTCTCCCTAAAATTCGGATGCGTACATTTTTTTTGTAGGGTTTCCATTCATTTTCCATGCTTTCTGTTTCTGAAATTCACTCATTCTAATTAATACTCATAACAAATTTCGGGAATATAATCGATCCATTGAAAGTCATTTTTTTGGTTGACCAATATTCTTAAAAATCTATCTTCTCCTGTATTTTTCATAATTAAGAAACGAAAACTTGGGATTTTATTTTTCAAATTTTTTTTTTTAACGGAAAATTTTTTTAGTTGATTTTTCGATTAAAAAAAACGTTAATCCGTAATCATCAGTGAATGAAAATCGAATTGCTAAGAAAAAATTACGCGAAAATACAATTTTTAATTTTTGATTATCGAAAAAGGAAGTTTTTTTTTCGCAGAGTAAACCTCCCCTTAATTAAATAAATTAATTGGACACTAGACCGTTATGCATTTTTAGTGAATTCTATTGATAAAATGTGTTATTTATATTAACAATTCAAGAAATTGATATTTTTATACATTAACGAATATGAAAATTCAAATGAATACTTGAATGTCAAATATAAACATCATATAAAATAAATGTTTCAGTCTATCTATTAAAAAATGAACTCGATATTTGCTGAGAATTCTTGACTCTCCACGCGATTTTAATTAGAAAAAAATAATTACAAAACAAAGAAAAAAAATTGGTTTTGTATTGAGGAAAAATATTTACGTCTCACCCGAAAAAAATCGGTTCCCTCAATTCAGAAAGATGAATTTTCATAATTTTCTGACAATAATTACACTGAAATGCATAGTTTTCATTATTTTTCCCATCAAATTATGAAAAGACGGGTAATTTGTCAATGAAAAAATTTCCTGAAATTTCAGTTCAAGTATCGCAAAATACCTACCTGTGTAACCACAATCAATCATCCCAATATTTTCTCTATGAAATACAAACTAAACGCCTTCATTACTTCAGAGTAAATGTGTTGATCGATCCTTCCCCAAATTGAATTCCCCAAATTGAATGACGAAATTGACTAATTATGATGATTAATGCATGCGAAACAGTTCCCAAATGATGAAGCTTCTGACATTTATATCCCCTGACATTTCCTACCGATATAATTACAAAACCCATTAATTTTCGTGGTATATGATCCCGAAGAACTCCACAAATCCCAACTCGCTCCAGTAGTTACATGCCAACATCAATATTATGAGGTACAGACATGATTCAGTGATTCACTAGTGCATGCTAATTATACCACAGTGACCCATTACGTAATTTCACAATGCACAAGCGTTGTTCACTAATGACCCCGCGTGTCCTGACCTTTCGCTTTCACTCTTTCCCGGGTTATGTACCTGCGTATGGATCCGATGACATTAACGGACCGTTTATAATTCTCATTCTTTTTTGTTGATTTTTGTCAGGAGGGGAATATTGGTTCGGAGCTCGTTATTCGACCGCTTCCCGAACGCGTCCTCAACGAGATAGTTCCTAGTATTGCAGCACTTCATGAGGAGAATTCACTGCCAAATGTGACGAGGAGCAAAAGAGATTTGAGTCAGACGCACCATCATGTGGTTTTTAAGAGGGTTGAGAGACCCCTTGCGGATGAATATAGTGATTTCGGTGAGAAATATTATCTTTTATCATTACATGTACTCGTGAAATTTTCTGTTGATTTAATGCTACACGGAGTTCAGTAAAAATTACGGAACAATTCACGTCCAATGCAATGGAGAATCTTTTTCCGGCTCTTTGTATAGGAACAGAAGAGAATAAATCTAAAACGTTCAGTGAATTTTCAGGTTCATCACCGAACAAATTACGAAATTGTCGCGTAACTGTTCCCGAAGAAGTAAAATCTTACAGAAACTTCTTAATTTAAAAAAACAATAGACAACAGGACTTGCTCACTTCTCATTTATAACATACATACTGTAGAAAATAATTACTTCTGATTGCGGATAAATTATTATTTTGTGTATTCTCAATCAATCAACATTATTCTTCGACGAAAAAATTCAAAATTTTGTTAACCTGGTTAGAAACATTGATGTTTGGGCATAAAAAATCGATGTCTTCGATTAATCGACAAACATCGCCCATCCGTAGTTAATGTTTCTGGGCAGCTATGGTTATCAAAAGTTATAATAATTTTTCTCCGTATTTTTACTGATCTGGTGATTTATTTTTTGAGAAAAAAAAACATTAGGTATTGTTGCTCTATCGATCGCCATTAATTAAATTTCAATTCGTCGATTAGTTTTTTAATTCTCGATTTTTTTCGAAAATCGGTTATCCCACGATAGCAACAAAAATATTCTGAATTGATTGGATGAGGGCTTAAAAATGTATTTTGATGTCCTTTTGACCGAGCTCGAAGATGAAAGCAATAGCAATAATCGTTAATTTGATTTATTTGAAGATTTGCAGAAATTTTGTTTTTTTTGCAAATCAGAATTCCGGGGATATCTTTGAATATTATGCTAAAAAGATGATTACGATAGCTATTTTTATTGATTTGATTTTTATGATGACCGTTGAGAATTTCGAATTTTTTATAAATTTCCCTAAAAGTGATTTTTCTGACGGTTTCTTCAAATGTAATATTTCAAATGCATTCAAGGGAGGGGAGAGATAGAACCGTAAAAACGGCAATCGGTTGTATAGAAGAAAAGGATAATAAAAATAATGATGATGACAACATTCAACTAAGTTGAAAATCTGACAAAAAAATTAGTTGAAGAGAAATCTTTTTCAATTTGGTAAAATTAAATAAACAATGAATTATATATGGTAGAAGGAAATGATGTACAAAATAACCATTCAAAAGCATATGACGAATTAATTACTAAAAATAACAACACCATCTGCAATAAAAGAGCAATTCCCCGCTTGTCTTTATTTATTTTCATGACATAATTGAACTGAAGTCTACGGTTTCCTCTACTTTTTTCATAAAATTTCCGAGAATTTCAACCTACAATTGTCAATTGTGCAGTTGATAATAATAATATTTAAATTGTACAGATATTATCAAAAAATTCTTATATTTTTAATTAACGAATCAAGTTTTTGTTGCGACTGTGGATCATATCTAATGCAGAATTTTGAAAACTAATCACCTCGATCATGTATTTTTACCCAAATGTTTAAGAGTTAAAATACTGGAACTGTAGACATTCCATTTCTTCAACTGTAAAAAGTCAGTGGACTTCAAAAACATTCTCACACAGTCGACTTCTATTTTTGGCATGTTAAGCACACTGTTTTGATTACTTTTTGCTACTTTTAATTAGCGAGTCAGCAACGAAGTGGTAGGATGATTCAAGTTTAACACGAAAACAGTTAATTATGCAATGATCTCTATAATGAGTAATTTTCGGAAATATTAAGAAACCGGTTTTGGAGACGAAGAAATTCGCCATGGGAAATACCTATTCATAATTTCTCGTGAAACCACTTATCAGCGGGATAATCGGTTTGCCACGCTGGCCATAAAATTTCGTTGCAAAAATTAAATATTCGAATTACTTCAGACGTTGTAACAAAAATCCGGATTGAAAAACTCGCAAGATTGAAAGTCGTTCATTCGCGAAGAGGAAAACCACTCACGTTTATGTACTTAATGCACATGAATGAAAAAATTGCAGAAAAAACAAAATAAAATAGAGTAAATAAAACAGAATAAATATTTCGTTTTCGATACGAAACAGTGGCTATCCCCCTTGAAGTAGTATGGATAAACTTCAGTTGAGTCGCTGAGTGTAACGAAGAAAAATGAATTCAAAAAGGCAAAAAAAAATTATTCACCGTTGATATTTTTCCCCATGAATTTCAAGTTTGATAAGTTGAGAAAGTGATCCATCAAATTCTTTCTGCAATTTTTTTTTCAAACAATAGTCTCTCGTCTGACTAAACTATTTCAATATAACACTTATTTATTACACAAGTTTGGTACTGACGATAATTTTCATATTGGCCAGAGAATTTTTATTTATTTTTTTCTGATTTTTCGAATTGTTTTCTAGATTTTGATCTTCTCCCTCGAAAGGTTCATTTTCTCATAGACTCCGTCTTATTTTTGCACTTCTAGCTTAAGTATTATCAATAACACTTGCGCAAACTCAACCAGAATGTTTCTATTCGTATTAACTTTCGTTTAGAATTCAGTAGCGAAATGGTAAAACGGTTTAAGTCGACCTATCTCCCAGTTGAGTTTTTGAGTAATATTTCCAAATCTAAGGGAGATGGCGAAATTTTCGTAATTACATGTGTTGTAGCTCTCAATCAGTTCTACAAAAAAGGTAATAACAAAAATTTGGCTATCTCTCTTAGATTCCTAGATATTCATTGACAACTGGTCAATAGTCAAAATTGACTTGTACCGTTTTACCACTTCGCTACTGAATTTATTTTACATTTTAATCTTCAAAATTCAAGTTATCTTTATACTATGTTAATTGAATTTCGTGTGACGATTGCTTTTCGAACATCAAAGTTTCCCGAGATATTCTGGTTAATTTTTCTTCAATTTTATCGCCGCGTGAATGAATTGTTTGCAACTAGAAATTAATGTTGATAAATATTGATTCTGTTTCTGTTCAATGATCAAACTCAACTACTTTCTCATTAACTCGCAACTTTTCAATTAACTTTCGTAACAATGACTTCCTTTCAGCGTTCATGGAACCGGATCATCTGGCCAGACGGTTCAGGTCGAAGAGATCGATTACACCGGGGAGGTCAAAACGCGATGCACCTTACGTAATTTATCCGGAAATCCTTTGCATCGTTGACTACGATGGTTACAGGTAAGAGATTGAAAAAACCTCGATGAAGAATTTCCATTAGTGGAACCGCTGATAATTAACAGTGGCGAGCATCTTCCTGAATTATCTCAATCCAACAAATCACAATCTGAGAAAAAAGAGAAATCTGGGGCACCCGGGCGAAAAGAGGAAATATTCGAATGATTCTATCCCATATAAGCGCATGTTAGCGCATGCATCTGGTGCATTTTGTCTATTTCATATCTAAATAATGAACATGGGTTGGTGGATTGAAATTCATATCAAAGTGAAGGGAATATCTTCATCTTCCAGTTGAAAAAAAATCAATTTTTTTTAGCACTTGCGATTTTGGATAAACATCCTTAAAGTCAATTCAACTTGACTTGACAATCACAACACTAATAAACCACTAGTTGTTGAAATTCACCAAATAATTTTCTCTGTAAGGGTTAAACATTAATTAAAATGTAAATGAGATAATTCGGAGCAAACAAAAATGACATTTAATCACCTAAAAACTGATATTCCATTGAATTTTTGATTTCCTTGCTCGAAGGAAGGACTTCCGCGCTCACGAAGAGCAGAATGTATGTAAAAACCCCATAAAAATGGAGAATAAATGTCAATAATTAGTGTCATTATTCTAGATTGCACGGTGGAGACAACGTTCAAATAAAAAGATACTTCGTGTCGTTCTGGAATGGTGTCGACATGAGGTATAAACTCCTAAAAGGACCCAAGATTCGCATCAGCATCGCTGGAATTATTATATCACGGGTAACAATCAACTATCTGACTTTCCTCAATTTTTTACCATCCCAAATGGAGAACAATTGAAACGAAAGTGGTGTTTGACATTTCTTCATTCCCATCTCTCATTTTCTCAATCGAAAATAGGGAAGAGATGCAACACCTTACTTGGAAAGAAATCGCGTGGGACGTGATGCGATTGACTCAGCGGCTGCACTGACCGACATGGGCAAATATCTTTTCCGGGAGAGGAGGCTTCCGGTTTACGACATTGCCGTTGCCGTGACAAAGTAAGAATAACCGTAATTCTAAGGCAATTGGTTGGAAATTATATTTAAAGATATGGGTAGTTTCATAGCTATTTATTTTCTGCGGAAATCTTCGTCTATTCCTTATTCATTTTTAGTTACAGCCAGTGGAATTCAGTAGCGAAGTGGTAAAACGGTACAAATCAATTTAGGCTATTGACCAGTTTCAATGAATATCTCGGAATCTAAGGAAGATAGCCCAATTTTTGTTATAACCTTTTTTGTAGAGCCGATTGAGAGTTATAACAAATGTATGTTTGAAACGTAGCTATATATCTATCAGTTAAACGGTCGGTCCTACCGACAATCCTCGAACACCATCGGGAACCTTCGGTTAAGCGGCCAGACGATCGCGAAAACCCCAAAATTTAGTACATCATCAGCCTTGTAAAATCAACGCGATGTGTCGTTCAAAGTACATCGCCGACGCATTACGTGAAAGTACATCACCTTCTCAAATTCAGTGAATTATCAGAGACAATTGTCAAGGACAATTAACAGTTATTTAACAATTCAGTACATCAACCGCTGTAATTATAATTTGAGACACTCAACAACCAAGTTCAAACCAAGGTATAAATTTTACGGTTAACGAAGTGGTTCGATTCCACTAAAATATACTAACATTTTATAATTGAGTGATTTAATTCATTTCCGGCCTATCCTGAAACAACACCTCCCACATCCATCCTAAATTTAGATCCTCATCTCAAACAATGTAATTACGAAAATTTCGCTACACGGACGAAAAAATTTAATAGAAAAACCTATCGAATTCGTTAGATAATTCTATTGAATTTCTATTGAACTCTTCTATTAGTTTTTTGCCGCTTCTATTGAAATGTTCAATAGAAAATATTCAGTAGAAAAAGTCAATAGAATTCAATTTTTCTATATAACTTATTCTATTGAGATATTTTCTGTAGAATTTCCTCGGCTCCAATTTTCTAAGATTTTTCGTTTGATTTTCTTGATGAGAAGGAAAGAAAAATAGAATGAAAAAAACTTAGAAAATTTGAGTCGAGCAAATTCTATAGAAAATATATGAAAAGAATAAGTTATATAGAAAAATCGAATTCTGTTGACTTTTTCTATTGAATGTTTTCTATTGCACATGTCAATAGAATCAGCCAAAAACTAATAGAAAGTTTCATAGAAATTCAATAGAATTTTCTAACGAATTCGATAGGTTTTTCTATTAAATTTTTTCGTGCGTGTATCTACCTTGGATTCCGAAATATTCCTCAAAAACTCAACTGGGAGATAAGTCGACTTGAACCGTTTTACTACTTCGCTACTGAATTGATTTGTAGCATTGTCGTGAAGAGAATGATGGATACACTAATAGAAAGGATTAGTTATTGTTAACGAAAGAATTTAGTTGGAGACGAGGGTCGATTAAGTCTCACCAAATGTTCATTCGTTAATAGTTAACAAATGCATGTTTGAGGAGGTTTGGTTGACTCGATNTTCTAACGAATTCGATAGGTTTTTCTATTAAATTTTTTCGTGCGTGTATCTACCTTGGATTCCGAAATATTCCTCAAAAACTCAACTGGGAGATAAGTCGACTTGAACCGTTTTACTACTTCGCTACTGAATTGATTTGTAGCATTGTCGTGAAGAGAATGATGGATACACTAATAGAAAGGATTAGTTATTGTTAACGAAAGAATTTAGTTGGAGACGAGGGTCGATTAAGTCTCACCAAATGTTCATTCGTTAATAGTTAACAAATGCATGTTTGAGGAGGTTTGGTTGACTCGATATTCACCTTTCAAGTGAACCATTCGTTAACTATTAACGAATATTCATTTGGTCATACTCAACTCTACCATTCGTTAATAGTTAACGAATCTCGTTTAGAATAAGTGAATCAATCTACCAGTGTAGAATAGAGTTATTTCCGTAGGAAAGAATTCAAGATTTTATGATAATTCCTCAATTGACTGAAAGTTCTTGATTTTTCATAATGAAGAAAAATGTATCTAAGATTTCCGAATTCTAATGATTTTTTCGAGGAATATCTCGGAAATAAAGAAGCAAAGAGAGAGAAATTTTGTGAAGACCTTTTTTGTAATGCTCTCTTGCTCTACAAAAAAGTACCCAGATGAATTTGGTTACTTCCTTGCAATACTGCCACTAAATTCACGACTTCGCTACTGATTTATTTTTCAATTCAAAGTAACATTCTCCATTTTGAGAAGACAATTCCTCTGCAGAAAGATGAAAAAAATATATAATTATTGATACAATCTCAATTCTGGTAATCAGCGATAGCCTTTCAGAAATTTTCAACAAAATTATAGTCGAAAATGCAATAAGTCTAGGGAAAATTCCAATACTTTTAATAAAAAATGTACAGAAATATGGTCATTGTTACCGCAATTTTTCATGTCAATATCCCAAAAATTTTCAACAAGTGGGACTTCCACTGAAATTTATGTAAATTTTGTTACTGAAAAAAACATGTATTCCAATAATTTCCTCATATTCTTTTTTTTATTTTTTTTATTTAAGCACAAACCTAACGGTTACATAGCTAATTCCTCATATTCTAATGAAAATCTACTTGAATTCATTTGACTGCAACCTAAACCTCCAAATTTCGTAAGCCTTTTCTCTCCAAAACAAATCCATTGTCAATATTCTCAAAATTACTACTAAACTATCCACGAAATTCTGATTTTTCCAACCATATAGAAGTCATTTTTCATTTGCATTTTTAACTAGACCTCTGTTGAAAAATTCTATTAATCCACGAGGTAATTGATCCAGGAATTCTCGAAGGTCATTAACTCCGAATGTTCCTAGGATCCGCATGAGAAGTATAGAATACTATTATTATTACAATCTTTTAATATGCAATTATGATCACTCTCACTCTATTCCTACATGTTCTTCCCACTTTTTTTCTCAACAACAGGTATGATATGTGCCGTCGTAGGAAGGGCGGCCGATGCACTAAGGGAACTGCCGGTATGGTTTATTATATAGAGACAAATGATTGCTACATGTTCATGTTTTTTTCCATAATCCGATTGTGTTGAGTTTCATTTGCATTCACGTGCTAGTCATCATTAGCTGGATGATCATGAATGTAGTTAGAGTAATTTAATCGCCAAATTAATCTGACAGTTGCAGTTACACGAGGAAATGAAAGTACTCCCAAATTCAAAACATTCTTTCTTATTCGAGAAAAAAAGTTTGAAGTAGTTTTGCCCCATTTGTGCCCCAGCAGTTTACACTGAGATGAAAAATTAGCTCTGCAGAAACTATATGCTCCACGTCAAAATATTTAGTGGAGTGGAATAGATTTACGTGAGAGAAATTAACTAACTTTATAAAAGGAAATTTAACATCCTTCACAAAAATTAAATTTTTATCGTGATCATCAGAAATATCCATAGAAGAATTCGAACCGTTGGCAGGAAAAAATATAATCTATTGTACGACGATCATTTGATCTGACAGAACTGCTATACCATAGAAAGAATACATTGACGAGGAAAGAATATTTTTTTCATTTAAATGAAATAGACCTTCTCGACCATATGTTTTCAAATTATTTAATTTTTTTTCTGTCTGACGCAATTCATGAATGGTACGCGTCCATGAATCGCTGCTTACAGTCGTTATGACAAAAAATATTGTTCATCATACAACCTAAAAAAACTTTTCTAGCTCATATGATTGAAAACTCATTCGCTAAAAAAGTTTTTTCTGCCTAATGACAAAATATACTATTGGGCCATGTTTAACATGACAGGATGTAAGTATATTCTCACGAATAATTATTAAATTTCCGGACTTCATTTCTGATATTCTGATGCTGCAAGAAGTTTTTGAACACCTAAGTTATTTTAATATATAAAGACAGAACAATTCCGGTCCAATACATTTAGTGCCTTCATATCATTCGATTTCTTTATTTACATTGGTGGTGTCACTTCTAGTTTGTGGTTGTCTGTTTACATCTTCAGATGAAAGCTGAAAATGAATTCCCGATAAACTTTTTGTCGGTTATTTTTCAACTTAAATCAGCATTTTTATATTGTAGCTTTTGATTCAACAATAGTTTTTTGATTATATGATTAGTAATTTTGCCTTTGTGATATTTTTTACAATAAAAATGCACCTGAACAGGAATACTTTGTGCATTTGAAACGTAGTGCAATTGAACTACTTATACTTTTTGTCTTTGATTACTGCTGATGACCTAAACATGGCCCAAAAGAATTTAAATAACATTTTTTTCTACTGCGAAAATTATCACGTTTTGGTGGAAACTTTCTTTTTTGTCCACAAGTAAAATAATTCACCACGATCAAAGATCTCTTCAGAGGGACATATAGTTTTCACCAGAACAAATTTCGTCTCTCAGTGTACGAGATATTGGAAAAATTAATTCCATAGAATGAAATGCTTGCCACTTGTATTTCAATTCCAAATATACGGAAATCACTCGAAAACTGCTTGGGCAAAATGGGTTTTTAATGTTTTTATTTAGAAATTCCCGTGTATTTTCAATCGTACAATCTGTAATTTTGTCAAGTCGACGAAACACTATATGTTTCCAATTTGAGAGTTCTTTCTTTCCTATGATGTAATCCGGAAATAAACCACCAATACCATCTAAAATATAAAGGTTGTAGAGGCTTGCGATCATGATATTCATCCGCATCCGAACGTGATGTGTAGATTGAGGGAAAAAACGACCTAATATCATAAAACGATTTCTGCAGCTAAATACATCTCCGGAGTGTTCATGACTCAAACGTGAATCCTTCACGCTCAAGTGAAAATTTCTTGTCTCAAGAAATCGTTTTTTTGGGGTCAGACGATGAGAAAATGATTAAAAATACCGGAAACTTTGACCCAGTGAATCACCAATTAGAATATATCATATTAAATGAATGCAGAAGTCATGCACTTTGAGAGATTTTTTAAATCTTGTCGTTTTTTCTCTCATTACATCATCTACATCAGTCCACGCATGTGTTGATATTATTCCGCAGCATTGATTATCAAAACAGCTTGAGTAAATTATTTGGGTAATGGATTAGAATGGTGATGATAAAAAAAACATGCAATCTAGTGGCCCTCAAGGACAAACAACGACGCATCGAAGTTCCTAGAATGCAGACGGACTACGAACTGACACCACATTGTCAATTCAATTACGAGGAGCGAAAAACCTCGGGCAATTTCTCATTCCCGTCCCCAACGATTCCGCGGAAATGAAAAAAAAATCGACAGGATTTTTTGCCACAGCTTCTAGCCCCTGCAAAGTTTGCTCAATTTGTTTTCTTTTCTTGATTCTGTTTGAGTTGTTTTGTTCTGTGTGATGTTTGATTGTCTCGTGACGTGGATTTGCATCACTCTAATGAATCATTTATGATAAAGAAAAATTTTATTGTTGCGTTGCAGATTAGATATGTGCAGGAGGCAATACGCCAATGACGTGTGCAATAGAGGAACCGCAGGTACGTTTTCTCGAGAGAGAAATCGCATGAAGAGCATTTCGCATTTGCTCAATACTCCCCGCACGGAAAATTATGTGTGCTGGAATTACGTGTATAAATATAATTCAAATGTGTGTAACATATATATTACATATTCATAAATAATTATATGTCACATATATGTCGTTATATATGTTGTTCACATATTTATTCACATGCACTGTTAAAAATTTTTGACTGAAATTTCATGGAAAATTCATTCTTTCGTCATTGAATATTTCAAATTTTATAGAAAAATCAGTGGAAACTAAATTTCAGTTCAATAGGGAACATAAGAATTTATTTTTCATTTTTTAATCTCAATCTAGAAGTTATAACAATCTCGAAAATAATTTTTATAACCCTTTAAATCGCATTTTTCAATGAGAAATCCTTGACTGGCAAGTGCACTTGTTAGAGGCCTTAGCAGAGAAGTTGCGCATTAATCTCCTAGAGATTAATGTGCTTCAATTTGTAAAAATATTGATAAAACTTTTGTAGAGAATAAAATTTTGTAAGAATAAAACTTCTGACAAAGAATTTGTTAAAACTCAAAACACTTTTAAAATTCGCGGGCCATTGCTGAGATTTATCATGCATTGAAAATCGATTGTCTAAAAACGTCGAATTCGATTGATCGAATGTCTAAAAACTAATAATTAGCACAAAAAATTAATTGTTTATTGTTCGTTTGTCCCACAGACGCCTAAAATGTTAAAAATAGTCCAGGGCCTTCAATTTTTGAGCTACAGAGGTTTTTTTTTAATTATTGCAAAAAAGTGTACAATAACAATTACGAATTAGTTTTGAAATTCGACTCCTACACAGCTCATTTTGTTTTGTTTAATATAAACATTTGCACCTATAAATAATTTATAAAAAATCAATTTGCCATCATAAATATCATTTGTTCGGAATCGTAACCAATTTATCCATATTCAGAATTGTGTCAGAAATCAATTTCATGCCTAAAAAAATGAGGTTTCCAAAAGTTTAGACAACTTCAATCATTTATTTATAAACAACGAATATTTAAAAACGTAATAATTCTGAATATTTATGATTTTTTTCAAAGTTTTTTCACGCAATTTAATTGACAAATTTGATGATTGAAAACGGTTGAGTCTACAGCGTGGTCTGTACCAAACTATGAAAGATACTTAGATATTAATAAACCTTAACAAATCATATGAAAATGAAAAAAATTTATCGAATATCATGTTTACGACCTATAGAGCGAGTTGAGAGGGAAATTTCGCCAATTATTCCCTGAAAATTGATAAAATCAGGAAACTTGTAAATTCACCATAATTTGGTACTGAATATTCATGTTTTGATTAAAAATCGAAGTGAGTTGGGGAATTCTTTTTTCCTCCTGCTAAAAAATGTGCAATTTCATTGAATTTCCAGTCGAAATCTGAAGTTTCATCATTTTTTTCCCCTAAATCTAATTCAATCTCGCTATCCTAAAAATTACAAGTCCATCCATGAAATTTCAGTTTTTTTCTAACAGTGTACTTCATATATGTCCGCATGTACATCTTTTCGTGCGGGTTCTCTACCTTTTGTGATATTTTTCGAGCCTTTTTTCATCGTTCTGTTCCTACGCACTCTGCACTTATTTTTTATTATTCTATTTTTTATTCACTCAAAAAAATCGCGGTTTCATATCGCCAAAGCTGTTATTACCACCGCCAAAAATTGTCACTGATTTTTTTCACACGAATTTTATAATTATTTTCTCTCCTCCAATTCAAGCACTCTTCGGGCACTGGCTTAAGAACTATCCGCAAGATTATCAATGGAATCTTTTTGTTTCCATCGATTATAATGAATGACCACGTTTACCACTGTCCACTGCACCTTCTACGATACTTTCGTCTTCACTCTGACTGTCCTGATTCGTTATTTCATGTTTTATATTGTTCATGTGTCTGGAATGCCCCTTAATTTTTCGTTACGACTTAAAAAAACGTCGCGATGTGGTAAGTTTCGACTCGATGAGGTTTTCATAGAATTTTGTGCATTCATTGGTTCACAAGATTTTTCATGGGAATTCATCAGCGGCGAGTTAACCCGAAATGCATGACTGCTTATGATGGCCACTAGTATGGCTTCAAGTATTTTTTATTGAAGTTAACGGAGAAATTGAGAGTACTAGTACTTTCCCTAACATATTAACTAATTCTACGTATGAAACAACTTTATTGAAAATCCTAGTGCATTCGCTAGGAAATTCTGTTGCAAATTCTATTCGTTTTTTATTATTCGATAGAAATAAAATCTCAAAATATTTCACTCTCATCCCACCCATGACGATATGAAACAGCTTATTACTTTTCCTATTCAGTTATATGATACTAGCAATTAGCTAAATATTTTTTGCTTCTTCATTCTACAATCAATGTTTTGTAAATAAAATTTAAAAACCAGGCTAGCTTCCCTCGGGCGATGGCCACACGCATGAAAAAAATCAACAGAAAACCTAGCGAATTCGCTAGAAAATTCTATTGGAATTCTACAGGAATTCTATGGGGTTTCAATAGGATTTTTATTGAAATTCTATCGAAAAATTCTACTTGTTTTTTTGCGCTGAGTCTATTGCATATTTGATAGGGAAAAGTCAGTAAATTTTGAATTTCGGTTAGAATTTTTCTCTTGAGATTTTTTTTATTAGCATTATTGGGCACATATTTTCCAAGTTTTTTCCGCTGGATTTTGTTTTGTTTTGCATTACAGAATCCGAGTGGAAAAAACCTTATGCCCAATAACTATAATATAATATAAATTTATGCCCAAGCATTCTTGTAGAAAAAATCTCAAGAGAGAAATTTAAACAGAAATTTGAAATGTATTGACTTTTTCTTATCGAATATCCAATAGAATCAGTGCAAAAACAAATTGAATTTTTCACTGGAATTCCGATTGAAATCCTATAGAAACCCCCATAGAATTCCACTAGAATTCCAATAGAATTTTCTAGCGAATTCGTTAGGTTTTCTAGAGAATTTTTCACACGTGCAGTCATAAACTTCGTTTGAAAAATTCTATTAAAAATGAAATAATTTATAAAATCGATAGATTTTCAGTTTTTTACATTCTTTATATATTTTTGAGATTTCTTCTACAGAAAAATTAACAAAAATTTTTAGACATAAATTTTCCGTGTTTTGCTGTGTTCCTCACTAGGAAATCAAAGAAAGAAAAATTGGAAAGATCATGTCCAACAATTCTCATGAGAAAAATCGTAAAAGAATGAATTTCATAAGAATATCAACAGCTGATAACTTTGTTTCCATCAAAACATCTATTAAAAAATTGCACAAGACTGAATAATTTTCGCCAAAAGACGAATAAAATTTTCTATAGAATTCTCCAGCGAATGTGACAGCTTTTCTATTAATTTTTTATATCTTTATTGACTTTATACTTTACTCATTTGATACTCAATCCTCTAATGCCTCAAAATTAATTAAAAGAATGATGATTAATCCTCAGATTGAAGGATATCCAAGTGGGGCAGTCTCGGCAATGGAATAGATCTTGAAATAAATCTGATTTTGAGATTTCTTAATGTGACAAATATCAGGTTATTAACCAGAAATGTTTCGGATAAAGTTATTATTGTATCATAAGCATTAGATTCTACTCAGCTGGGATTCATCAAGGTGAATAGAAGATAACGCAGCTGGAAATGATCGACTGAATAAATATCAAACATCAAACGTCAACGGTTGACGTAATCAACTATTACTGAAACTTCAAGTCACATTTCATCAGATTTTAGTCGATGTTGAGTCTCATAGAGAATTTCATTGCATCTCCATTGAACTTCTATTGAGAATTCTATTAGTTTTTGGTCGATTCCATTGACGAATTTCGCAGCTGTGTTGCGTTTATTGTGTCTAAAATGACCAATAGAAACTATTTTACAGAAAAAATCAGCAAAATTTCATTTTTCTATACAATTTCTTTTATTGCAATATTTTCTATATGAATTCCTAGACATGAATTCTCTAATTTTTGCCTAGTCTATCATGGTTTTTTCTTCTCTACTCTTAAAAAAATGAAACTAAAAAAACTTAGAAAATTTAAATTTTAGAATTTCTATAGAAAATATCTCAATAAAATCAGTCGTACAGAAAAATGGAATTCTATTGATTGTTTCTATAGAATATTTTCCATTGAACATTTCTGCTGGAAAAAAATGCGTAAATAAAATGCGGAATTTTGCGATGGAATCAACCAAAATTGTATATTTCGTATGTAAAAAAAGTGTTTTTTTGTCATTCCGGCCGTAAGGCAGCGCTTCACGGACGCGTAGCTATAATCACTGTTTATAGCTGTTATGACAAAAATATTGTTCGTTACACGGCCAAAAAAAAATTTCTAGCTCATATGATTGCAGCCCGAGCCGAAGGCTCGAGGGCCGAGAGGTTTTCTAACCAACTCATATTCGCCAGAAAATTTTTTTTCAGCCTGATGACGAAAAATACTATTTCATCACAGAATCCGTAAAACATCGTTTCTCGTCTTAAATTTGGTCGATTACAATGCTTCCATTCGGAAGCTATTTCAATTCAATAGAAATGGAACAGAATTTTCTAGCGAATTCGCTCGGTTTTACTGACATTTTTTCATACGCGTGAACTTGATGAATCTTCGTCTAGTGGAGTCTGTCGCTTCATATACTAGGAAGAAGCCAGTAGCGAAGCGGTAATATGATTCAATTCAATTTTGACTATTGGCCAGTTTTCAATCAATATCTCGAAATCTAAGGGAGATGGCAAAATTTCTGTCAATACCTTTTCTATAGCCCTCAATTCTCTCTACAAAAAAGGTTATTACGAAAGTTACTTTATCTCCCTTAGATTCGAAGATATTTCTCGAAAACTCAGCTAAGGGCTAAATTGACTTGAATCGTTTACAGCTTCGCTACTGAAACCTAAATTGAATTTTCCTGCATGGGCTGTTTTGGATATCTTTAAATCGATAGATTAAATTGTTGCATAATAGTTTCACTAGTACATGTCTCATGATATCGAATAACCTCAGTAGACTCCATCAAACCTTGAAAAATAATAACAATGAATCAGAAAAAAATGCGCTAATCGACTTTCCCCACGCAGGTTTCGCGTACGTAGGCGGCGCCTGTGTTGTTAACAAGCGATTAGAGAAGGTCAATTCAGTCGCAATAATCGAGGACACCGGTGGATTCAGCGGTATCATCGTCGCCGCCCACGAAGTCGGTCATTTGTAAGTTGCTGACACATCATGATAGGTCAGTAATCAGTCTGAATCATAATTAATGAATGTTTTGCGTACAGATTGGGCGCTGTGCACGATGGATCACCACCGCCGAGTTATCTCGGTGGTCCGGGAGCTGAGAAATGTCGATGGGAGGACGGTTACATTATGAGTGATCTCAGACATACCGAGAAGGGCTTCAAATGGTCCTACTGCAGTGTCTCGTCTTTCCATCATTTTCTCAAGTAATTCAAGCATTCAAATTACATTTTATCATTATCAGTGATATTGAGACGGAGACAGAATTATTCATTTCAGAGATATTTAAAATATCTGTGCTATTCACAGGCGAATTGCGTGACACCGCGATTACAAAATGTAATCGATTACCCAGGATTACGGGAGTGATTACACTAATTACCACTGTCTACACTGATAGAACGGATTAGTTGTTGTTAACGAATGGATTTTGGTTGCAAGTTAGGGTCTATTTGGTCCCGCCAAATGTTCATTCGTTAATAGTTAACGAATGTATATTTGAGGAGCCTTGTTTGACTTGACTTTCGCCATTCAAGTGACCATTCGTTAACTCTTAACGAATATTCATTTGGTCATATTCAACTCTACCATTCGTTAATAGTTAACGAATCTCGTTTGGAATAAATGAATCATTCTATCAGTGTATGTGATAACCGTGATTACCAAGAGCACAGAATGTGATTACATGATTACAAATGATTTCGTCGATTACATTCTGTGATTACCAAACATCTGTAATCATTGAAATCACAAAAAATGTCCTCTTATTAAATATGAATTAATGGAATAATTAATTATTAGAACCTGCAAAGAAATGGGGAAGGAGGGACGGGTATTAGAACAGAGGAATGCAGTCTGCATCACTCCATCTATAAATTTGGGCATTTATAAGTGCTATCAGCAAAATAAATTTACTGAATATCTACCATTGATGGAGAATGAAACTTACCAGCAGATAATACAGAGATAATCCCGTCGTTGGTTCTCCAGAATAAGAAGAAATTTTAACTGTTAAATCAATTTTTAGCGGACAAATGCTCTGTGCAAAACGCATTGGCTATGCAAGGTTCTGAACCATAAATATCTGGGATTCCAAGAAAAATTGATCCAGGGATCTCTGAGACTTACCGTTGGTAGAAATGACGCGCTCGAAAATTTGAAAACAAAATTCACAGTCTCACTAGGAGCAACTACGAAAGATTACACTGATTACAAATGATTGCAGTGATTACAAATGATTACCACTTGATTACCAAAACTTGATTACAAATATGGTAATCATGTGATTACAATGATTACATTGATTTCACTGGGTTACAATTGATTACATCAGCGAGTGACAGCACGATTACGCCTGTGAATATCTCTGCGATAATGTCACTAAAAATTGGTGACATAATCACTAAATTTAAGAATTTTACACTTACTGAATTTCACAGTCAGCAATCGCTAATTGGGAATGAATTCCGGAAAAGCCAGTGACATGTGTCTCAAAATCCAAACATTTTTCTTCGTGATGAGACTAATTTTGGAACAGAACATAGTATATTTCGACACTAGGTCGAGAGGAACTTTTCCGTTTACTATCCCGAGTCGAATAATTGGATCTGACAAATTCTACTTAGGTCTTTCCGTTCAGAACTGGATAGATCTTGGGAAGCCTCTTCCCAAGTACTTCCGAGACCTTTCTACCTCTGGTTATGTCCCATTTCAACACTTGTTAGGTGTAAGCAGGACTTGCATTCAGACTTTCCAAATCCTTGCCGGTCCCCGTAATTCTATGGGCCTATATTAAATCTGCGTTCATATCCCTGTTTACTCATGCGTTATTGAAATAAAAAATGCAATTATTGTTTTTTTTTAATCTCGAAAATCGACATTTCACGGGAGGGTGGAGGGGAGATGCATGTATGCGGAGGCTTGACATTTTTACCCAACAAGCGGAGAAGGTTGCAGAATCTATTCNAAAAAAAAAACTTTTTCAGTTTACACTTTTTCCACATACTTTTGAGAGTTTTAACTAGCCCGGCGCTTAAATAGTTGGAATAAACGTTCACCCGGCTTAAAAATTCGATTTTGTCGAAAAATCCACTTGCCCCGGAAAACCCGAAAATCTGACCCTTTGGCTGGGGCAAAAAAAAAAACGGTTTCTCAGTTTTCACTTTTTCCACATACTTTTGAGAGTTTTAACTAGCCCGGCGCTTAAATAGTTGGAATAAACGTTCACCCGGCTTAAAAATTCGATTTTGGCGAAAAATCCACTTGCCCCGGGAAACCCGAAAATCTGACCCTTTGGCTGGGGCAAAAAAAAACGGTTTCTCAGTTTTCACTTTTTCCACATTCTTTTGAGAGTTCTGAATAGCCCGTCGCTTAAATAGTTGGAATCAACGTTCACCCAGATCCGATCAATTAGCCCCTCATGTATAGATATTCCAAATTTTGGAAACCCCGAGCCAAAGAGTCAGATTTTCTGTTTTTCCAGGGGGAAAGTCGACTTTCGCCAAAATCGAATTTTTTAGCCTGGTGAACGTTGATTCCAACTATTTAAGCGACGGGCTATTCAGAACTCTCAAAAGTATGTGGAAAAAGTGAAAACTGAAAAAGTTTTTTTTTTCAAATTTTGAAAGGGTCAGATTTTGGTTTTTCCCGGGGAAGGTCGACTTTCGCCAAAATCGAATTTTTTAGCCTGGTGAACGTTGATTCCAACTATTTAAGCGACGGGCTATTCAGAACTCTCAAAAGTATGTGGAAAAAGTGAAAACTGAAAAAGTTTTTTTTTTCAAATTTTGAAAGGGTCAGATTTTGGTTTTTCCCGGGGAAGGTCGACTTTCGCCAAAATCGAATTATTTAGCCGGGTGAACAGATCCGACCAATTAGCCCCTCATGTATAGATATTCCAAATTTTTATTTTTTTCCTCATTGAAGTAG